ATTAAAAAATCCACTCTTCCCATTGCAACATGCATGCATTAACTGGTGAGCATTCTGCTACGCTAAACACGCCAGTTGGAGAAAGATAAATCTCAGATGATCTCACTCATATGTGGAATATGACGAACAACATACCCCTCCCGACCTAAAATATCTTCCGAGACATAGAAGCATCAAACAGACCATCCAACCTCAGGGGGAGGTGGGGTGTGTGGGGGGGTTTGGGGGGAGGGTGTGTGAGAGATCAACCAAAGGACTTTCATGCATGCATATAAGCATAACCCATAGACACAGTCAGTAGGGGGGGTGAGGGCATGTTCTTGGGGGGTGGGTGGGAACGAGCGGGGAGAGGTCAATGGGGGGAAAAGGATTCATATGTAATACTTTAAAAAATAAAGAATTAAAAAATTAAAAAAACAAACAAAAGGAAGTAGATCGTGTATGCTTAGAGATAAGTGTGAGAAGGACTTCAAAAAAAGAAGCAATTTTGTGTCTATTAAGGTCTAAATTTTGCTTAAAGAAAGGGTGGGTGGGACTGGGAACACTTCAAATTAAGGAGAAAGGCTGGAAAAAAGCTTGGTCTGCTGCCCTGCACTAGACCAAATGCTAATTTATAACTGTATGTGAGTTTGCGCTTTGAAGCAATCGGGAATTAATTTTCAAACTGCCTTAGAAGTTTTTATGGGCATTTTTCAACAAACAAAACTAAAATGCCTAATTTCATTTTCTTGAAAACTTTTATGGCAAAGATGCCTTTTCTTTTTAGAGTTAAAAGGGAGCTTATTAGTGAAGCAGTGGAACAGAAAGAAGGCTACTCCACAGACAGAGCAGCCACAAAAATGCTTTACGTGGCCTAAAATTACTCTTTGGAAAGATATAGAGCAGAGAAGTTAGGGAGTCATATCTTTGTTATACCACCTAGATAGCTTTATCATTGAGGATCTCAGAGCCTGACCACCCCCTACCCATGCTATCTATCAGCATAGTGGTAGGGTGGTGCAGACATCCAAGAATGAGCATTTACAAATGAGGAAAGCAAAGCCCAGAGTCATATACCTAGTGTCTTGAAAACTGCCTGATTTGTAGCAAGTTCTTGATAATTTAATTGAATAAATGAATAAGCGAACAAATAAAAAATACTCATCAAAATATGTAGTTTTAAAGAATAGGGGAAGAGATTTTTCTCATGTATTGTCAAAAAAGAAAGAAACCCCAAATCAAATTTTAGTTACCGTTCTAGATACTATAGATACTATACAATAGATATAGTCTACAGACACTACAAATGTAGATGTAATAAAAATTACAGATTTAAATATTTATTTTACCATTCTCCAAAATTTACAAAATTTTAAGGAAACATGTGGTTATATAAGTCCTCTATTTTCCAAGCTGTGTGCAGTGTTTTTCTAAATATACTTTCATCACTTTAGTTTTTAAAAATAGCTTTACTGAGTTATAACCAATACACAATAAACTGCACATATTTAAAGTGTACACGTTTGACACCTGTATATACCTGGAAAACCATAATAAAAATAAAAAGAGCGAACATATTTATCACCTCCAAAAGTTTCCTTGTGCCTCTTAGAAATCTCTTCCCTGCCCCCGACCAGGTAATCGTTGATTTGCTTTCTGTAACTATGGATTATTTTGCACTTTCAGAATTTCACATAAAAGGATTTTTACAGTATGCAACCTTTTTGTCTGGATCATTTCACTCAGCACAATTACTTTGAGATTCATCAATGTTGTATCCATAGTTCATTCCTTTTCATTGCTGAGTAGTACTTCATTATGGATATACTGCTAATCCCATCCTGGGTACCTTTCAGCTCAGACATTGTAGTTTTCATCTCTAGATGTTTGATCTGAATCTTTTTTTAAAAAAATCTTTGTCCCTATTTGAGATCTGAATATTTGAAATACAATTATAGTACCTTTTAGTGTCCTTCTCTGCTAATTCTAACATCTGCTGTCAGCTCTGAGTCACTTTTGATGAATATTTTTTCATTATTATGAGCCATATGTTGCTGTTTTTTGCATGCCTGGTAATTTTTTATTGGGTGCCAGGCATTGTCATTCTGACCATGTTGGGCACTAGGTATTTTTGTATTCCTATAAATATTGTTAAGCTTTGTTCTGGAATGTAGTTTAGTTACTCAGAAACAACTCGATCCTCTTGTTTTTAAGATTTGTTGGGCTGGACCAGAGCAATGTTTAGTTTAGGGCCAATTATTTCCCAGTGTAGAGGCAAGGCTATTCTAATTCCTCTACCCAGTGCCTGGCGAGTGAAGAGGTTTTCTGGTCTGACTGGGAGAAATAGGCACTATTCCATGCCTGGCCTAAGCACCAGCTACTGTTCCTACTCATCTTTTTGGGTGGTTTTCCCTCAGCTTTAAGTAGTTCTCTCACATGCCTGTGCTGATTAGTACTCTGCTGAATAACGGGGCGAGGGACCCACTATACATCTCCAGGGTTCTCTGTCTGCACGTCTCTCGCACTGCTGAAACTCTTTGTCTGACCTCCAGACACCTTGGTTTCTGAGACCCTCAGCTCCATCTGCTCACTGCGTTTGTTTCCTTTCTCTCAGGGAATTGTTGCATTGCTTGATGTCCAGTATCTTGCAAATTACACACACACACACACACACACACACACACACACACACACGTATATACTTGTTTGTTTCATCTGGAAGGGAAAATCCAGTCTCTCATTCCATTTTTGCCAGGAGTCTCAACCCTTTAACTTTTCATCATAATAATTATCTTGAAGATATTTAAGAAGATTTAAGTGATTTATTCCATTACATTTTTCTGCTGAAGTGTTTCATTATTTTCAGTGAGGGAAACTCTAATTAGAGTTATTTTCTTACCTCCCCTCACATCTGTATGGGGCTTCAAAGCGCTTAGGCTACATCACATCAGCCTATGGGAAAGGTGACACAGGTAGATTTCTTTCCATTTTACAGGTGAGGAAGTATCTATTCAGAGATATTATGGCTTTCTCAAGTTACACAGCTAATAAGCAGGAGAACGAGGACATGGCCTGAGGGTAACTGATACTTTCCATCCGAACAGGCTACACATACCGTCACGGTAAGACAAATACAGCCTTTCTGATCAAGAAAGCATTAACACGACCCTTTTGTCTAAAAGCAAGGGGAGAAAAGCAGGTGGTGGTCAGGGCAGGCACAAGGAGACCACAAAGGGGCAGTTAGTGTCATCTTCATGCACTGCTTCCCATAACCATATACCATGGTGGTTTATTTTTCTTTCAAAATGTCTGTTAGCTATCATCACTAAGGGATAACATCTACTAAGAAGAGTTTTCTTTATCTGTTTTTCTTGGACTTTTGAGGGATGGGTGGGGACATTGCCATCCTATATAATAAAAGTCCAGTGCCCGAAAGGTAGAACGGCCAGAACGACTGCTTGACCAATCGTTATGATGTGCACTGACCACCGGAGCTGCCCCCTGGTGGTCAGTGTGCTCTCACAGTGGGAGCAGCCACTAGCAGGCCCAAGGTGAGGCCGAGTCTCTGCACCTATCAAATACCTGAGACAATCCAGATTCTGGTCTGATCCTACCAGCTGATGCAGGCCCTCAAAGGTGTGTTCTAGAAAGAGTACGGGGAGCTGGCATAGGATGGCAAGAGGGGATGTGACTGTGGACCCCCTGTGGAGGCTGTCCTGATGGCAGAGGATCCTGGAGCATGGCTGCCCTGAACATCCCGGATGGTGTCACTGACCTGGCATCCCACCTCAAGGACATTCACCAAGTGGCTTTGGGGTGCAAAGGTCTCAGCCAGGTTCCTCCAGGACACAGAACACGTCTTTACCCAAGACATTACCCCAAAATATCAGCTCAGACTAATTTCCTCATTCAGCAGCTGCTCAGAGAGCAGATCCACAGCTGACCGGGATGAGTGTTGCTCCCACAGTGGGCCGATCCCCGCAGGCCATGCCCCACCAGTGCACATTTCTGTGCTCCGGGCCTCTAGTTTTATAAATAAAAGAACATATGCTTATGTTTTAGCTAGGGATCCCTAGAAAACAGAGCCTATGCCAGAACGTACAGGTGTTAGCCTTTATTGGGGTGGTGTGTGCAAGTGAGGCAGAGAAGGAAAGAAAGCAAACGGAAGGTGGTACCTTACTGAGCTGGGTCTCAGCTTCACGAGAAGACAAAGCTGGTCGCTGGGTCTCCATTAAGACTAAGTGGATCTGCTACCCCTCAGACAGTCTGATGGGGGAGAAAGGAGGGGCATTTATATGCTGGCTCATTTCGATTTTCTGTCTTTCACTGGTCCAACTTTTCCCTAACAAGGAGTTAAGTCTTCCCACCACTTCTTGGGTGTATTGCCTAGTCCCTGTGGCACCACTGGGAAGGCAGACCCCGTGCCCTTGGGATCGGCACAGCATCTAGTCTGGAAGTGCTGAAAGGAGCCAAAGCCACTGCAGCCCTGTCTGTGCAGGCTCCCACCATG